CCACCCCCCCCCCCCTGAGCCCCCCCCCCCCCCCCAAAAAAAAGCACTTAAAGTAAATCAGAATAAACTAGATACTTAAGGGCCAAAGGAACTTTAGTTTAACAATTGTAGCAGATGTAAGAAAACTTCCCAGCTTTGCCACCCAGTTAGCTACCTTGTTTCCATCCCTTTTTGTATGAGTCCAGCAAACGCATATATCTTTGGTTAATTTCACAATCATCTTCATTTGTATATTTATGCTCTAATAATGTTCTTTATTCAACCTGCAATACTTCCATAATAATAGAGAATCCATTTCTATAATGATATATTTCCAGCTGTAATGTTTAGAAGTCATAAGACCGAAAACAATAGCATCCACTTCAGCTACAGGGGGTGAAACAAGAGCTGCTGGAGATGCAAACACCTCCAACACCAGCCTTATTAATTTTCTAACTTCCATCTACATGATCTACTAAGTGCCATGTTTCATGATCTCCAAACTTTGATATAGGCGGCACTGCTATATGGGCGTGTTGGATCTCATGCCTCCGACATCGTAGTGTATTGCTCTTGGGTTCTTGACAGCAAAAAATTATTCTCAGGCATTGTGGTGTTGCTCTACTAACGTTGGGGTGTTATCAAACTGACGTGGCGACGCTATGTACTTGCGTTGAGATGCTGGGTCAAAATTTGCAGTTGTCCTTCAAACAATTTGTTCCACATGTATTTTTCTTACATAGAAAAAAAATGAACTAAGGAAAAATATAAAAATAATATAAATTTATGAAAAAATACCACATAAACACACTACTTTGTACACCTATCATTATGCCTTATGTTAAATTTTTTAAATGGGTCAAGTTCGAGTTAGCGGGTTGAAGGGTGGTCGGGTTTGGGTTGGATTTCTGCCTTGGTTAATACTTGGGTCGAGTCTTGGTCCAGTAGTATAAGGATGACTCAATTTTGGGTCAGATCCAAACCCCCACAAATCGGATTTGATCCCCTAGGAGATGAGGAATTGATAGAAATTCTTTAGAAATGACATCATCTGAAGTTTCTATTAGAAATCTTATCGAGAAAGATTGTCTTAGGGGAGGAAGCATGGCTTAGAATGAAATCCCAGAATAAATTTGATGTCGTTAACAAAAAAAAGAAACTTAGTCTCCAAAAAAATTTCTTTAGTAACCAACTTACCTCCCCCTTCTTACACACTGGCCCCGTTTGAAGCGGCAATAGGGCAGCGGCGGGGCGCCGCAATATTTTGCTGTTTGGGGCTGCGGAGTAGCAACGGTGGGCGTAAACGTAGGCCGTAGTTTCGACCCCGCTGCCTGCTTTTCTCGTTTGGCTATTTACGCCGGTGCCCTCTTTTCATTTCCGCCCTAACCCTCTTCCTCCTCGTTTTCTTTTTACGCAAAGTGGAAGCTACGATCAGTTGCTCCTTTTCCTTCTCTTCTCCCACGTTGCTCACGCTCCCTGGTTCCTCTTCTTCTCCCGCTTTTCTCACGCTACGTGGTCCCTCAGCGGTGATTTTACTCTTTTACTCTACCTCCTCTGTTCCCCAGCGGTAAGCACCTTTATTCAACAGATGCGAATGCTTGTTCGTTGGATTTGTGATGTTAGATTTGTAAATACTGTTTGGTGGTATGGATGTGACTGCTAGATGCTAGATTGAATTCTTGGTGGAATTCTTGGTGGATTGAGTTTGATAAGTTTTATGAAAAAAAAAAATTTGAGGATGTGGCTTGGGGGTGACAGTAATCTGATGTTAGATATTTTTGAGTGAGGGTCAATATTGGCTGTGGCGTGTTCATTGATGTGAATACACATCATTTGGGTGGTCTGCATGAAGATCTAACAAGAAAAACGGAAAAAAAAATTAATGTGCATGCGGCTTGGGCATTGATGTTAGATTATTCTTATTGTTCTAGTCAAAAGGACTTATCCCCACCCCATCTTCTAAATTGCCACGAGACTTCTAATATTTACAAGATTTTTATCTTGGCAAAAGGATAAGACATTCAATTTTTCCTTATCTAGCGGTTTATTCTCGTTCTACAATCTCTTCCAGTCATGTTTTGGAAGCTAAATTGTCGTTAATGTAGCATGCAATTGTTACCGTTGCTGCAGGGACATGGGAATGGAAGTTTGTTGCACGCTAGGTATGCTTGAAAAGCAACAAGCATTAGAGCTTAAGAAGGCTGGCCTCACAGCATATAATCATAACCTTGATACTTCAAGAGAGCACTATCCAAACATAATAACCACCAGAACATATGATGAAAGGTTGGAAACACTTCGATATGTCCGTGAGGCCGGAATTAATGTCTGTTCAGGTATATTATTTTCTTTAATTTACTCGACATTTTGGAAAGTAGTAGATTCTGACTTAAAGCATAGTTGATGAATATTTTTTTTGACTGTTCTGCCCCATCAGAGAATATGTTGCTCTATCACCATTACCAAACCTGAGTTTGGTGATTGTTCACATATGTTCTGAGATGGTCTTGCAGTTAGAAAACCTTTATAACTTTGGAAATTGCAGAATTCCTACCAGGTGTGTTGTTTATGTTGTGAAATGAGATGCTGCCCTTTTATAATTCAGGAGGAATCATTGGTCTTGGTGAAGCTGAAGAAGATCGCGTGGGTTTATTGCATACCCTAGCCACCCTTCCTAACCATCCTGAGAGTGTTCCCATTAATGCATTAGTTGCAGTCAAGGGCACTCCTCTTCAAGATCAGAAGGTAATCTTATGGCTTCTCTTCTAATAGAATGGGATTATATTAAAGCATATTGGTGATTTTTCAGGTTCTAAAGCTGTTGTATTTCTTGCTGCACTGCATTATATTGTTCGGCGGGTTTGTACTCTTAAATAGAAAATGATAGATTAGTTATTGTTTAGGTGGTAGCAAGTTTTGAGCACGATTTGAACATGATTTAATTCATATCTCACAAAAAGAGTATATAAAAAAATTAAAAACTTTAATCCCTTGCATCCCATTTCTCTCCATCTTAAATCCCAGTTTTGCTAAATTTGGGCATTCAACCGATTAACTTTAATCCGGAGCATCACACAAATTTCTCTTTTCCTTCACAATGTTGTTTGTTCCATTGATACTTTCTCTAGCAAATTCTTATTTTGATTTTCTTGGTTATGGAAGGTTTACAAAATTTGGGAGGGAGTTAATGGGGAAGAAAGACAATGGTTTCAAGTGGTAGGTGTGTTGCATTAAGTTTATAATTGGAAATTTATGATGTTATTTTGGTAAAATGTGATAATTTATTAAATTATTAATATTAGTGGACTTAATTAAACAATCACACAATAACAATAACAGTAGAAACAACAAGACTTTATCCCTCTAAGTGGGGTCAGTTACATTGATTCTTTTTCTTTATTGTCTTATTTTGTATAATATTTTTATTTAATTTTAATAATTTCAGATAATATTTTATGCAACATGCCCAAGTCTTTTTAGGTCTACCTTGACTTTTCTTAAGTCAAATTTAAAACATCTACTTTCCTAATTGGGTCATGGAGATATTAGTTTCACATTTTTTCATTAAGAGTAAAGCTACTCATCCACCTGAGCATTCTCATCTCAGCAACACTTAATTTTATGATAGCCTTTTATTGGACAACATTCTACGTCATAAAACATTGCAAATCACACCACCGTTTTATAAAATTTTCCTTCAAGTTTAAGCGGTATTTTTCTATCACCAAATAGGTGCGATGCATTCCTCCACTTCAATCATCAACTTGAGTGCTACTAATAACATTCCCATCTATATGAAGATCACTTTGAACGATAAACTTAAGATATCTAAAACGTTCATTCCTTTTAATGAATTGAATACCCATTTTTATACTCCTGCTGTAAATGTCTTGTAAAAACATTCATAACTAAAGCAAAATGATATGAGTTTAAATTCTTTCTCTAATGTAATCCATTTGAAATAGGAGAATGCTTGGTCCATCCTCCTTGTATTCGAACACAAGTAACTATTTATTTATCTTTATTGATTGATATAAACAGTGTCAATACATTTTTAATTTAGAATTCTCCAAAGTACTTCTCTTGGAATCTTATCATAACATTTTTATAAATCAATTACAATCAAATGCAGATCCTCCTTACTCTCTCTGTACTTCTCCAGCAAACCTCTTAATAAATGTTTATCTTTCATAATAGACTTGCCCGACATGAATCCAAAATGATTTGAGAAATTTTTGTATTGCGTTGTAACCTATGGTCAATAACTCACCCATAATTTTCATGTATGACACATTAACTTAATTCTTTTATAGTTTGTACACTCTTATGCATCATCTTTATTTTTAAAAATAAAAACTAATAGACTCTTTCTCTGCTTATCAGAGATTTTTTTTTGTTTCAAAATAATATTAAAAATTTTAATAAGCTAAAAAATCATGGAGCTCTTAAATATTTGCACACTTTTATTGCAATACCACTAGGCCTTATTTTCTTACACTTCATTTTTTTAGAGCCTACTCGATTTTTATTTTATTAGTGTGATGGTAGAAGTAATTATCACAACTCAGTCCTGTGCCTTGAATTAACCAAGCCAGGTAGAGACAGTTAGATGGTGGAAATTAAGTTTTTTATATTCATTTTCTAAAACTAACTATTAGCAAATGAAAGTCACTAAATAAATTAAATTAAAGTAGTATAATTAAATTTATCTCATTATAGGTTGTCTGTGTATTCTGTAAACATTATCTCTTCTATTGCTCATCATTTACTGAATTAATTACACCTGAAAAGTTAATTTAAAACAATTGTTAGCTAACCAAAGCTAGTGAATATTCACACTCATAAAATACAATAATACAAGAGAAAAGAAAACAATATTTATGTTAGTTAAGCATTTAATAAATCAATATAAACATTTGATATTTTTAAGAATATGTTACTATTCTATGAATTTTACTATATTGATACCATATCTATATTATTATATAACTGTACAGCGGTCGCATGAACACTATCTAAAATTATACAAATTAAAGTACTTTAATATCAATATTCTTTTTCATTTACATGCACGGGTAACTTAGCGTTTTCTCGGTAGTACTATAAAATGATGACTTCATCATAGTCAGTATTGTACATGCAAACAATCAATATAGACATATCATTGATGTGTTTATCGCATTCAATTAAATATATATAATCATGACTCCCCTGGGGTCACGAGTTCAAGCCCGCTTGAGTGCATCTGCCTTGCAGTGCAAGATCGATTGGTTAGACTCATGAGGTTGGTTGGAGGCTCATATCATACCCTCCGACCAATCTTAAAGATATATATATATT